ACTCAAGACGTGGACAAGTTTTGCGAAGGAGTTGTTGAGCTCTATTCCAATCTCACAAAAGTGCCCGCCATTTCCTTTTTTTCATAAGTGTAAAACTCAATTAACCTTTGACAGCCCTTGGCCGATGTCGCTCTTTACGTTTCTCGACTTGGTGGAGCTCTCGGATGGGAAGCTCCATCTATTCTATTCGCTTATCTAATAGCCTCTGGAGTCTTCCTTACTTATCTCAGACGACCTGTGAGTTGAATAGACGCCCAAAATTCAAGAATATAATGAGATTGCTGCAGATTGGCAGACTAACAGTAGAGGAGCAAGCATTGGAAGGCGATTTTCGATTCGTAAACTCTCGTCTGATTGTAAACAGTGAAGAGATTGCCTTCTATCAGGTATGGTTTACCTTTTGATGGGCCAATTACTAGCAATAGCCTCGTGGTGATGGTGATGGATTAAGGTAAAACCATATATAATTTTGAGAGAAACGCGCAATCGCGAAATTACGAGAATCCAATTTTGTAAGAATACATAAGAGTTTGTAAAAATATATAAGGTGTGTTGGGACCACTCAAAATGCCACTTCGGAGAACCTAGTCGGGTTGACTAAAAATACGTTAAAAGTAAGTAATCCATAATCACGGTGTATATTCGTTTCGGTTGGTGATTTACTCGGTAGATCCATGCAGAGTTGCATAAAGGTTTGTTTATGCTCAACTCTTGCTCTTTCTTTGCAACTTTCCTCCACTCCTGTCAAATGTTTCCATAAGCATCTGGCGGACTTACCAGCTTTCAACTTGCCCATAACAGCTTGATGAACAGATAAGAGTAGTTCTTCCTCACTAGATAGTTCTTCGAAAATTTGCTCATCCTAGAGCTGAGTTTATCACTGTTTGCTTTCTCAACTTCGCCTATGATCAAAGTGTCAACTATACCGTAATTTTTGCCTTGCTATAGGGAAGCCTTCCAATGACAAGTTAAAGGCTACGCTGCTACCCGCATAATTATCGAATACAATTGTTTTTAGCGTATTGTAGGGAAGAAGCTTAGTCTTAAAGGAAAAACGGGTAATTTTGAACACAGTTTTATTAAGACATTGAATCCTTGAGTTTGAAGAATAATGTCTTTCGTTGGTGGACTGGCGTCATAACCTTACAACAATTGCTGCTTTGCAAAGTCAATTTTAGACAAAACTACAAACTGACTTTTATTCACAATCAAATGTGTATTTGAATGTTCATTTTTCGAATATTCAAATAGCGTGTCCATTTGAGGGTAACGACAGAGAACGCATCTCAATTCTTAGTTCATTTGGCAATCTTGTCAGCCATTTGAGAAAACTGATACTATTCAGGTAAAG